GTAATATGATGCATGTTGTATGCAGCCTCAAGGGCGGGTATCATAGTGTACAAGACTGGAAGGGCAAGAAGCCTCCTATAGATAAGATGAAAATAGTTCCTATCTAATCCTGAGAAATCTCTAACTATCAAATATAGCTCTAACACCCGAACGCCTCCTACCTCCCCCGGGCCAGGGTGTCCACCCCGTTGTTGACCAGTCTACAACACGCGACTCGACGATGGCCGGCGAGGATGCACGGTTGGGAAGAGAGGAGGGAGTGACGGACATGTGGTCCCTTAGTTAAGTTAACGTTTCAATCAAAGCATGAAACTGTGTGAGTTTTCTCATGCCATGTCATCACTTACAGTGGACCCATAGATTAGACTTCATGTCAAAATGTGGTCAGCTGAGTAGTTAGGTTCTGGCAAAAAATTATTGAAAAACTGTGGTTGTTGCAAACTTTTAGGCCTCTTTTTGTTTGTAGGAATTTTATAGAAATTCCTATAGGATAGGATTTTCAAAGGAAAAATTTCTTTGGAGCCCTTGTAGGAATGGAGTCTTATCCCTATGGATGATAGGAATCAATCCTTCACATTTTAAAGGGAAAAAATATTAGTCTAGATTCAATGAAAAAAATTCCTTACGCCTCTTTGGTTCATAGCATATGAATATCATTGAAATAGGAAAATCATAAGAAGTGAGATGACATGTATCTCAATTCCTATAAGTAAAAAGATGTCATTTAATCCATAGGATAGGAATTTCTCCATTGAGTCTAGGCTAATGTTTTTTTCCTTTTAAATATGAAGGATTAATTCCTATCCTGCATAGGTAGGATAGGAATCCACTCCTAGAAACCAAAGGGCTCCACAAAAAAATTTCTTTTAAAAATTCTATCCTATAAAATTCCTACAATATTCCTAGGAATCAATAAAGGTTTTATCATATGCATCAAATGACATCTCTTTCCCTATAAGAATCACTTCAAAGCTATAATCTGGGTCGATGACCCACCTCCTCAGGCTATCCCTGTGAGGCGCATTTTGAATCATTTGTTGTTTACTGGAAACAATCTAGACTATGCAGTTTCAGCTAGCGCTTGAACCTTTCGTTACTGTGGTAGTGTCCCTTCTCATGAATTTATGACCCTTAATCTCAGGGAGACAACCAATCCTAAGCCATCCCAGCAAGTTGATATGAACTCTCCAAAAGATTTTTAGTTGGGTGGGCTAGAGATGGAAATTCCAAAGAAATTCTGCAATGTTGATGTTCCAATAGAGTGTTTCTACTTGATACTCGCTCTTTCCAAAAACAAGTGTCTTAATTTTAGTATAAATTTATACTAAAGTTAGTACAAAGTTGAGGAGTGCAGCGATTCGGTGCACAGGCTCATCTGCACCCGTCTAGAAAAAAAATCACAAAAAACTACTAGAAAAATTCAAAAAAAATTCCCATGGTAGAAAATTTAATGCGTGAGGTTCGCTCCAAATTCTAGCTCATTTGGACATCTGAGTAGCTCTCGGAAAAAAGACAAATCGGGTCAAAATAGTACATGAACAGTAAACTATTTTACAGACCTTGAGTTTGTCTTTTTTGCCGAGAGTTGCTTATTTGTCCAAATGATTTGAAAATTGGAGCGCGCCTCACGCATCAAATTGTCTACCATGCGAAGAAAATAGGAATTGTCTGAATTTTTCTAGAATTTATTTTGATTTTTTTATTCAACGCGGGTGCAGATGAGCCCGGGCTCAGAAAAAGACTTTCGCAAAGTTGAGACACTTCTTTTGGGGTGGAGGGAGTATTATTTTGGTGGGGCATCTTTGAGTCTTTCTATCATTTGTACGTTCTATTGAAAGCTTTAAATGATCATCAACCCCAACAGTCTAGACAATTTCTCCAAGCCTTTGAACCAGCCATTGAAAAGCAAATGGGGCTTGGCGATGAAGTCGCTAAAGTACTTGTGATCATCTATTTCTTCGAACAAATGACCATAAGGTTTGCTGGAACTTTCTTGCTATTCTCAACAGTGGTAAATTACTACATTATTTCCAATGATCTGAACCTTGCCATTCATCAGGCCATCCGCCATCAGATAGTGCTTCTAGAGTGCATGGGTTGCAGGTGGCTCGATGTGATCTTCGGGGTCTTGGACATGTTAAACCCCAGGAATATGATACATGTATGTGAATGTTCTCCACACTGAGTTTAATCTCACAACTGTCTCTCTGGTGGTTAGTCATAAGCTTACAAATCTGTTGTTACTCCGCTTCTCTTTTTTCCTCTCATGGAACATGCATTTTTCAAACTCTGAACTCACTCAATCTAGCACCTGATGGAAAATCAAGTTCAGTTGTATTATTCATTTCTTTCCGTTGTGGTATCATTAGTCATTTCTGCTGGAAACGGATGTTGGCTGGCTGTTGAGCTCTGCTAACTAAAACCAAAGAAAGGACAACAGCAACAAACAACAACACGGTCCATTTGTTCAGAGCGAAGATGGAGCAGTCACTATGAAGTGGCAACCCCCAGGTTTACAAATATGCAAGCTGACCTTTTCATATACTAGAACAATGCCTGGGTGTTGCAACGGGATATAAATCTTCTAGTATGCCGGCTTCTGATTTACCTGTCTATAATAATGCGATTGTGTAAATAAATGATTATCAAATTCTGCCCTTGAATTACCTTATATTCTGATCCGAAGTTTGGTAAGTAAATTAAAGTGAAACAGGTTCAGAAGGTAAGTAAATTAAGTTGATTTATTATCACACAAGAAAGGTTGGACGATGGGGTGGGAAGAAAGGTAAAATGGCAACCTTACGTTCTTTTCAAGTAGTATCTTGGAATGTGATACAGTTCCATGCATTCACATTTGCAGCGAGTTGGAACCGGATGCTAACAAGACAATTAAGGAAAACTTCCACCTGGACAACATATCTCCTGCCAACGACAGACAGCAGCAATTACCACAAAGACATTATCTTACGTATTTATTATTTTCCCAAAAAATGGAGAAAGAAAAATACAGAACACATGTAGTACTGCAGCCTCAAGACTGCCATGATTTCATATGGAACATCTTCAAAACTGCTTCACGCTCTAATTTTGCAGCAAGATTACTTCAACAAGACTCATTCATGCTCTAATTTTGCGGCAAGATTACTTCAAGACTGCTGTGAGATTATATGGAACAGCTTCAAGATGGTCAAGACTGCTTCAACAATACTACAACCAATGAGACTACCGATGATAGACATCAGCTCCGCTATGTGTAAATCTCTCACCGATGAAAGAAAACGGCACGGCAAAGCGCGCATATGCTTCTAGTTGAGATGCATGTCATCTCGCTTCCAGTGATTTTTCTATTGCTATAGCGTTTCGATGGTTTTCAGCAAACTTCGACGCAATTGTGGTGGTCTTTTGCAATTTGTCGGCGACCTGGTGCTGCCAATATATCACCCTAATGTGGTAACTGTACGAATTGCATGCCAATTTAGAGCCATTCTTCCTGATCAAGCCTCTAAAGATTGCGGAAGAAAACAGGCAGCATGCGTGAGATCTGCCGTTGCCTGATCACGCATGATGGATGAGGTGATGCTTCGACCGGGTCACCATGCTTCAGCTGCTATGTAGTACTTCCTCCGTCCCATAATGTAAGACGTTTTTTCATACTAGAGGTGAATTGGCTATACAAAGGTGAAATGTACGCCTATTATTAGAGCTTCAGAAAAGGAAGTGCAGATATATATTACAATCCTCACTGGAGGTCTAGGGTCTCATTGAGCATGTGAAGTTGACTTGGAAGGCTTCAACATGCGATTTCAGTATCCAAGCAAGCTATTAGGAATAAATACCATGCAAACATGCATGAAGTAAATTGTGCTCCCTCCGTTCCTAAATATATGTCTTTTTAAAGATTTCAATATGGACTACATACGGAGCAAAACGAGTGAATCTACACTCTAAACTACGTCTATATACATCCGTATATCGTTCATATTCAAATCTTCAGAAAGACTTATATTTAGGAACGGAGGCAATATGAAACCAAGGAATTATCAGAAAATCATTTACATGCTTACGTCGGGAAGGCTGCTTACCTAAGGGCATACAGATACAGACTGGAAGGGCAAAAAGGAGCAGACAGATGAAGGGACAAATGTTACAGGAAATGCATGCTCCAGCCGTGGGACTCATAGGCACTACTACAGATCATGTGGAAACGCTCTCACGAATCATATCTCAACTCCAGCCAAGGCTAGATAGATGCTCGTTACGCTCTCCAGGTAAAATGATACTCTCAAATGCAAAATCCCATCGTCATCTCATGGAAATCATGGAACACATACAATACGTAAATAAAGATGATGAGAAGGCAAGATGTACGTACTAATGAATGAAAAGAGCAGAGACAAAGTAAAGTTCCCTGTGCTTGAAACATTCAAATAAAATAAACCTCGTGTAGGATGTAGCTCAGTTTTAGAGGAAACAAGAAAGTGTACACAACATAGCAAATACATATTAAGAAAGAGAATGGTTTCAAACTTTGCACTCACAGACCTTGCCTAGGCACCATTAGCCCGAAATTTGTCCCCATTCTCTACACATTCCGCATAATTGGTGTAAACATCACAAGGTTCCAAATGCAAAATCTGTTCAGAAGCCAAGACACAAAGTAAAGTTCCATGTTCTTGGAACATTCAGATAAAATAGACCTGCTATAGGATGTAGCTCAGTTTTAGGGAACACACAGGATGTTAAGAAAACGTACACAACATAACAAATATTAAGAGAATGGTTTCAAACTTTGCACTTGCAAACCTTGCCTAGGCACAATTAGCTGGAAAAAAATCCACGTCTTTTACAGATTCTGCATAGTTAGTCTAAACATCACAAGGTACCAGGACACTAGGAACTTCAAAGCACTAGAAACAAAAGACCTAACCAAATTTGGATAAAACAAATAATTAGATAATCAAGAGTAACTCATCAAAGTACATAACAACCAAATGTCAACATCAGCATTCAAAGGGATCAGCTACAGACAAATCCCGCACATGCTTGATGTCCTCAAGTTTGCGGCGACATCTATCCTTTGTGAAAACAAACTGAGCACCTCTGGAAGCCCTGTTCCCAAGCTTAAGCAACCTATGCTGCCTTTCAATGAACTTTTCACAGCACCGGCCTTGAACCTCAAATCGTAATAACTCTAGCATTTTAGCATTCAGGACAAAGAGCATGGCAAAGTTAACTTCTGACATGATGCCTCGATAATTTGCCAACACTACTTTCTTGAGACGGATGTCAAGGCATCTGATGTGACTCTGGTGTTTACGACGCCAAAAACTCTTTTTCCCCGACGACAAACATATCTGAAAATGGGAAGACAAAAGTTCATGCAAAGAGTACATTAACAGCTAACACCACTCCCTCCATTCCAAAATAAGTGTTGTGGTTTTAGTTCAAACCAGGACACTTATTTTGGAATGGAGGGAGTACAAATCACAGACGAATGGTTACCTCGATATACAACTTCTCCAAGCAGGGAAAGCAACACATGAGATCAAGAACCATATCCACACAGAGAGGAAGAACAGAGATAGATAAAGTCTTGACAGTGTCTACCACCATTGGGAACAGAGTAGGAAATCCCTATGAAGAATGAAACATTGCATCAGGCCATATAAAAATGCAGATAGTATGAATTTTGCCTTCTGACAAATGAGGTTAGACGTGAAGGTGAAAGCTACCTTAAAGCTGAAGCCGTAAGAGTCATCGTAACGATGGCAGCCCATGGTCTCCAGGTTGGGCGCTGATATTATCGATATGTCCAAGCCCGTAGTTTTGTTGAGTTGGAGCAACCTTTCAAGACAAGGGGCATCCTCAATAGAGATTTTCACCAATTTATCTCGGTATCCAGCATTTCCAGCACGTACGCCAATGGTTCTAAGGTTTGGGGAGCAGATCCGAATGCAGCCGAAGCCAATGCAGTGGTTAAGAAGCATGGATTCCAGGACGGGGCAACCAGCGATGACGCTCTGCAGAGAACCTTCCGAGATGCTGACCTCTTCAAGTGCGAGCTGCTTGAGCTGGGGGAAATGAAGCGTCTGGACGATGCTGTCGGGGAAGCGGCATTGGCTGAATGTGGCCAGACGGAGGCTGGACGAGAAACGGAAGGTGGGCGCCGTCACCGCCGGCAGTACCAGTGGATCGCCCGCGCAGCAGAACTCGAGCTCCTGGAGGTTGCTGAGGCCAGCAGACCGGAGCCAGGCATCCACGGTGGCAGCGTGGTGGTACAGGTGGTGCGCGGAGACGCACAAGCGGCGGCCGGAGCCAGCGTGGGCGGAGAGGATCTGGGAAATGAGGCGTATTAGAACGTTGTCACCTTCGGCGGGGAGGTCGTAGTAGTCGAGATTGAGAGGAGCGGAGCGCCAGAGGTGGCGCCACCGGGAGGCGAGGGTTTGGGTGCGGGCGCCCTCCGTGGTGGGGAGAAGGGAGATGAAGTCGCCGAGGACGGCGTCGGGCAGTCCGCTGATGTGGTCGACGCCGTCTTCTGCTCCTCCAGCTCCAAGCGGTGGTTCTCGGATGTCGGATTCGGGCGCCTCCATGGCCGCCGCCGTCGGCTCATGGCTTAAGATTTCCTCCGGTTGGTTGCTTCCGGGCAACTCCGATTTTCTCTTCTTGGAAAGAGGAGCCGCCGCCTCCATCTCCATGGCCGGTTGTTGCGCGGCGCAGCTGCGCAGAGGAGGCTGGCTCACTGGCGCCGCCGCGGTCGCTCGGGCATTTTTTCAGAACAGTTCGTGTGGTGAGGGTTTGAGGCTTGTCAGGAAAGGGGCAAATCTTCTTCTAGTTTGTTTCATTTTTGCTTTGAAGGGATTGCATTTTTTTTCTTTTCCGAAGTTCACTATGGGCGTGTTTGGTTGCCGTTTGCTAGTCTGCATCGCATACACTTCTCCACCCAACCTGACTATGCAAATGCAGGCTCAAATGCACCATATGCATATTATTTGGTTGCCTGCATGCCCTCTTACCTGCATGGGCTGAACCACAGCGCCTGGTGTTTGGTTGCCTGAATGTTAGTCCACAAACCCAAGGCATGGTGTTTGGTTGTATGCAAGGCTTGATGTGTGGTAACCTCTTTGGCTAGTTGATGAGGTTACCACAACACTTCGGCAGCACACATCATAAGCACAACAGAGTATAAACAGAGCATCAACTACATAATTCAGATATAAACGGTACGACAGTTCATAACAGTTCTACGCATAAACCATAGCAGAATAGGTAGTACTTAGGGAGACCCCGGCCCTACTCCTTGGCGGCGAAGGCTTCGTCGTGCTTCCCGCACTTGTTGACGACCTCAATGCCATCGTCGTCGAAGATGATGACCTTGAGGGTGTTGGGAGTGAGGAGCTTGAACGTCACCATGTAGCCGATCTTGATCTGATGAACGGCTGCGTAGGTGGCCCAACCCTGATCCAGGGTCACCCTGCCGTTCATCAGCTTGACCGTCACCTTCCAGGAGCAGCCGGTGTTGTTCCTGAGCTTGAACTCCGTCGGCACCGCGACGAAGTGCTTGGTGAAGTCCAGGGGCATGGGGATGCACTCAAGCTTCGGTGCAAGGATGACCTTGCAGAAGTGAGTTGGGCCATCCTCCTGATGGTATGGCCGTAGTTGCGGCGCTTGTTGCTGGGGGGGCTCCTCCATGCCATCGTCGTCGCCACCCTCACACGTCTTTGGGTCTTCCTTGGCGGTGGGCGGCAACTCAACCTCATCAGGCATTGGGTGAAGGGGCTACTTGCTCTTGCTGTCAACGGCCGGGAACACCTCCGTGCCCATCGCATTGCTATCCTCGATCTGCACACAAGTCATGGAGTCAGGCATTGCACAGAGTTCATGGCTAATTCAAGAGCTTGTAGTTAAAACGGCATGACTGTCACTCTTCTCCTCCTCTCCATCCCCCCTATATTTACTCACCCTGCCCACCACTATTTACCCACCCCCTCTCTTCTCTCACTGTCAACCTTCCTCCTCCCCATCGCCATGAGCTCTAACTCCAGCTCCAATGCCAACCCCTTCCCTTGGGGTATTGGCTGGAGGGCCTTCTTCCTCGGGTGGACGGCTGGTGACCGGACCAAGTTCGAGAACACCATGAAGGTGTGCTCGAACTTCGGATCCATGCCGGCAATGCAGAACGAATCCAATGTCGTGCTCATGAAGGCCACTCAAGATGAGCTGAAGACGTTGATTCCTGACCCAGCGAAGGGCGCGATGGCAGTTGACATCCTTTGCTGGGCCATGAATCAGGCCGTCTCAGACGACCCTAAACAGAGGAAGAAGTGGTGCAAGTACAAGACCTACTTTGCTCCTAATGACCGTCGTGCCGCAGTATACTGGGAGACGGGTATCGCGCCGCCGCTGGTCATCGGTGGGCAGCCTAAGGAGGAGGAAGAAGAGGCGGTGCATATGCCAGGTGTTAGGGAACGTAGTAATTTCAAAAAAATCCTACGCACACGCAAGATCATGGTGATGCATAGCAACGAGAGGGGAGAGTGTTGTCCACGTACCCTCGTAGACCGAAAGCGGAAGAATTAGAACAACGCGGTTGATGTAGTCGTACATCTTCACGGCCCGACCGATCAAGCACCGAAACTATGGCACCTCCAAGTTCTAGCACACGTTCAGCTCGATGACGATCCCCATACTCCGATCCAGCAGAATGTTGGGGAAGAGTTCCGTCAGCACGACGGCGTGGTGACGATCTTGATGTTCTACCGCTGCAGGGCTTCGCCTAAGCACCGCTACAATATTATCGAGGAGGACTATGATGGAGGGGGCACCGCACACGGCTAAGAGATCAAGAGATCAATTGTTGTGTCTAGAGGTGCCCCCCTGCCCCCGTATATAAAGGAGCAAGGGGGGAGGGGCGGCCGGCCTAGGAGGGGGCGCGCCAAGGGGAGTCCTACTCCCACCGGGAGTAGGACTCCCTCCTTCCTTGTTGGAGTAGGAGAAGGGGGGAAAGAGGAGGGAGAGGGAGGAAGGAAAGGGGGGGCGCCGCCCCCCTCTCCTTGTCCTATTTGGACTAGGGGGAGGGGGCGTGGCCCAGCCCTTGCCTCCTCTCCTCTTCTCCACTAAGGCCCATGTAGGCCCATTAAGCCCCCGGGGGGGTCCGGTAACCTCCCGGTACTCCGGTAAAATCCCGATTTCACCCGGAACACTTTCGACATCCAAATATAGGCTTCCAATATATCAATCTTCATGTCTCGACCATTTTGAGACTCCTCGTCATGTCCGTAATCACATTCGGGACTCCGAACAAACTTCGGTACATCAAAACTCATAAACTCATAATATAACTGTCATCGAAACCTTAAGCATGCAGACCCTACGGGTTCGAGAACTATGTAGACATGACCGAGAACCGTTTCCGGTCAATAACCAATAGCGGAACTTGGATGCTCATATTGGCTCCTACATATTCTACGAAGATCTTTATCGATCAAACCGCATAACAACATACGTTGTTCCCTTTGTCATCAGTATGTTACTTGCCCGAGATTTGATCGTCGGTATCTCAATACCTAGTTCAATCTCGTTACCGGCAAGTCTCTTTACTCGTTACATAATGCATCATTCCGTAACTAACTCATTAGCTACATTGCTTGCAAGGCTTATAGTGATGTGCATTATCGAGAGGGCCCGGAGATACCTCTCCGACAATCGGAGTGACAAAACCTAATCTCGAAATACGCCAACTCAACATGTACCTTTGGAGACACGTGTAGAGCTCCTTTATAATCACCCAGTTACGTTGTGACGTTTGGTAGCACACAAAGTGTTCCTCCGGTAAACGGGAGTTGCATAATCTCATAGTTGTAGGAACATGTATAAGTCATGAAGAAAGCAATAGCAACATACTAAACGATCAAGTGCTAAGCTAACCGAATGGGTCATGTCAATCACATCATTCTCCTAATGATGTGATCCCGTTAATCAAATGACAAGTCATGTCTATGGTTAGGAAACATAACCATCTTTGATTAATGAGCTAGTCAAGTAGAGGCATACTAGTGACTTTAAGTTTGTCTATGTATTCACACATGTATCATGTTTCCGGCTAATACAATTATAGCATGAATAATAAACATTTATCATGATATGAGGAAATAAATAATAACTTTATTATTGCCTCTAGGGCATATTTCCTTCAGTCTCCCACTTGCACTAGAGTCAATAATCTAGATTACACAGTAATGATTCTAACACCCATGGAGTCTTGGTGCTGATCATGTTTTGCTCGTGGAAGAGGCTTAGTCAACGGGTCTGCAACATTCAGATCAGTATGTATCTTGCAAATCTCTATGTCTCCCACCCGGACTTGGTCCCGGATGGAATTGAAGCGTCTCTTGATGTGCTTGGTCCTCTTGTGAAATCTGGATTCCTTTGCCAAGGCAATTGCACCAGTATTGTCACAGAAGATCTTCATTGGTCCTGATGCACTAGGTATGGCACCTAGATCGGAAATGAAATCCTTCATCCAAACTCCTTCATTTGCTGCTTCCGAAGCAGCTATGTACTCCGCTTCGCATGTAGATCCCGCCACGACGCTTTGTTTAGAACTGCACCAACTGACAGCTCCACCGTTCAATATAAACACGTATCCGGTTTGCGATTTAGAATCGTCCGGATCAGTGTCAAAGCTTGCATCGATGTAACCATTTACGACTAGCTCTTTGTCACCTCCATAAACGAGAAACATATCCTTAGTCCTTTTCAGGTATTTCAGGATGTTCTTGACCGCTGTCCAGTGATCCACTCCTGGATTACTTTGGTACCTCCCTGCCAAACTTATTGCTAAGCATACGTCAGGTCTGGTACACAGCATTGCATACATGATAGAGCCTATGGCTGAAGCATAGGGAACATCTTTCATTTTCTCTCTATCTTCTGTTGTGGTCGGGTATTGAGTCTGACTCAACTTCACACCTTGTAATACAGGCAAGAACCCTTTCTTTGCCTGATCCATTTTGAACTTTTTCAAAACTTTATCAAGGTATGTGCTTTGTGAAAGTCCAATTAAGCGTCTTGATCTATCTCTATAGATCTTGATGCCCAATATGTAAGCAGCTTCATCAAGGTCTTTCATTGAAAAACTTTTATTCAAGTATCCCTTTATGCTATCCAGAAATTCTATATCATTTCCAATCAACAATATGTCATCTACATATAATATCATAAATGCTACAGAGCTCCCACTCACTTTCTTGTAAATACAGGCTTCTCCAAAAGTCTGTATAAAACCATATGCTTTGATCACACTATCAAAGCGTTTATTCCAACTCTGAGAGGCTTGCACCAGTCCATAAATGGATCGCTGGAGCTTGCACACTTTGTTAGCACCTTTTGGATCGACAAAACCTTCCGGTTGCATCATATACAACTCTTCTTCCAGAAATCCATTCAGGAATGCAGTTTTCACATCCATTTGCCATATTTCATAATCATAAAATGCGGCAATTGCTAACATGATTCGGACAGACTTAAGCATCGCTACGGGTGAGAAAGTCTCATCGTAGTCAACCCCTTGAACTTGTCGAAAACCTTTCGCAACAAGTCGAGCTTTGTAGACAGTTACATTACCATCAGCGTCAGTCTTCTTCTTAAAGATCCATTTATTCTCGATGGCTTGCCGATCATCGGGCAATTCAACCAA